GACGAGGAGGAGGAGGCGGAGGCGGAGGAGGAGGAGGAGGAGGAGGAGGAGGAGGCGGAGGCGGAGGCGGTGGCGGAGGTGGAGGAGGAGGAGGAGGAGGAAGAGGAAAAAGAGGACACACAGGAATAGTAAGAAGACTAATCAAAGTAAAAAGAAGACGACGAAGACAACTGATACTAATACTAATAAGACGAATCAGAAACACAAACATAACATTAGTAATATTAGTGTTACTGTTATTCTTATCACTACTAATAAAAGTTGTAGCAATAACCGTGTTAATGATACTAACAATAGTGATGACACGACTACTAGTAATAATCATCGTAGTAATTCTGACACTAGTAATAGTAATGCTACGATTGAGCAGGTTGATATTAATATCATTGATACTAATAATACGATTAATCGTACTATCAATAATAATACTAGCAAACATAATACGAATAATAGTACTAACAGCACTAATAATACTACTGAGAAGAAGAGGAGGAAGAGGAAGAGGAGGGGAGAAAGAGGAAGAGCAAGAGGAGCAGGAGGATGAGGAGGGGGAGCGGAGGAGTTGGAAGAGGAGGAACGTGATGATGATGCTGATAATGATGATGATGAGGAGGAGGAGGAGGACAAGCGGAGGAGGAGGAGGAGGAGGAGGAAGGAAGAAAAGGAGGGAACAATGTGGGGAGGAGGAAGAGTAGGAGGGGAGGAGGTGGATGAGGGTGTAGAGAGGAGGACGAGGAAGATGTGTCGTTTTCGGCCTCCTCGGGCCGCCCGGGGGTGAGGAACGCCCAAAAGCTGTTCGAACCACAACCCACGAAACTCGACGAAGAACTGAAGTGCATCCAGCCTTCGACCCCCCCGTCCGTTGTTGAGCCGTTGCCCCGGACTAAGCTAGAACCTAAGCGCGCGCGTTGCGCGCGTGGTTCTAGTACATATATATATATGGCTAAACCACTCGAGCCCAACGTGATCACGCATGGCGAGCTCGCGGCATTCAACCTGCTGCGCCGCACACAACCTCGTGAGTCTGACGGCCAGCTCCTAGCAATCCTTGATCGCTAGGCGGTCGCTCGCGGCCAGCCTGAAGGGCAAGGCTCCCTGTTTGGCCAGTCGGTTTGCTTCCGCATTGCCAAACCTTTGCAGCTCGGTTATCTTGCCATTCCTCACGTCAACAGCCGACGTGTGAGCAGGAACCTGTATACTTTCCGCTTCCTCGAGACGGTTCCCGATCTCAGCCTACACGTGGGGTCTCGCCGACCTAGTGCCGGAGGCTCCCGAAATGCGGCGGAGGCAGCCCACGGTGCCAGCACAATCGACGTACACAGGAACCCCAGGACCGATGATCGCACGCCTCGAGAGCATCAGAACAGCACAATCCTCCCTGTCGCGCCGTCGACGAGAAGGACCCCGACAATGGCCGCCAGCGTCCTGCCAGCATTGTGGAGGACGACCACCGACCACCCTGCCGTCCTGAGACGAAGGAGCTGTCAGTCGAGACACGAGTCGTCTGTGAAGAGGTGGGCCCCTTCAGGAACGAACAGGGGCCCATCCTAGGGCCACTGGACATGACGAGTGCAAGGGTCCGACGGGTCCTTGGGAAGGGCACTTCAACCAGGCCGCGGGGTTCGGAAGCTAAAGAGCTCGCCTGTCGTTGTCTGACGATGCCCATCTCGCTGAGCAGCCCGACGCACCGACAGACCCAGGGTCTCGCGGCACCAAGGCTCGAAGGCGCAGCACATGAAACGCCAGTGGAACAGTGTGCTTCTAGCCTCTGCAAGGGAAGAGGAGGAAGATGAGGATGAGGGATGAGAGGGAGGTGGGGAATGAGGAATCATGAGGGATGGACCTGGACCTGAATATGTTTTGATGTGAGCGATGTTCCGCTGCGTTCTTTCCCATGCATTCGGCGTCATCACATTCCCCCTACATGACGTTATGACGTTCCCCCAGCTTGCCGCCGGCCAGTTTATCGATCCTGCCAGAATCCGAGAAACTGCCACGGGAATTCAAAATGGAGGATGGCAGACGCCTGCGTGTTTTCTCGCGACGCTTGGGGACCTGGATCTCAAGGGTTTGTTTGCGCGGTCATCGTCCTGTCGTGGACGTCTCGTCCACCCCTCTCCTATGAGAGGCCACGACTTGCGACCCTCCTAGTATGTATGCGTACGTGTATTTGGTTGTGTGGCACTCTATGGTGTGCGTTGCCCCTGACCTCTTGCTGCACGTATTTGGCTGCGGGGGTAATCGTTCTCGAGCGTTTAGCTAGGTGTGCGTGCGTCGGTTGCCCGCGCGCGTTGTCTCAGCCTGATCTTTTCTACGCCGCGCCGCCGCGCGCGTGGCCGCGACGCCAACACGCGATCATTTCTTGTGCCAAGGACTACGCCCTAGTCATCGGAGCATCCGAGATTAACCGTCGAAGCTTCGAAGCCACCTCGAACATGTGACACCCCCTCGTCCTCGTCCTCCTCTCCATCTCGAGCTCCACTCCTCCTCGTCCTTCTTCGTCAACCTCCCTTGTTCTCCCTCCTCGTCCCTTTTCAACGTTCTCCTCCTCTTCCTCTCCTTCTCCCCCCCTTTCTCCTTCTCTTCCTCCTTTATGGTCCTTCTGCCCGTCCGCCCTCGGTGCAGCCAGGCGTTCCCGAGCAGGTGCAGATGGGTGCCCCGCCCCCGCTGAGCACGGAGCGCCCTCCCCCCGTCGCACCGTCTCGCACGACGACGCGGACGTGGAAGATGATGTTGACGATGACGGTGACGGTGACGACGACGACGACTACTACGACGACGACGACCATTACGATGACGATGGTGATGGTGCTGCTGCTGCTGATGTTGATGCTGATGTTGCTGCTACTGCTCATGTTGATGATGCTGATACGTGATGATAATGAGGATGATGATGATACTGATGATGATGCTGATACTGTTTATGATGAGTATGCTGATGATGGTGACGATGCTGATGATGATGATGATGATGATGATGATGATGATGATGATGATGATGGTGATGGTGATGGTGATGATGATGTTGTGATGGTGATACTGACGATGCTGACGATTATGCTGACGATGATGCTGATGCTGACGATGGTGCTGACGAAGATGCAGATGCTGGCAATGATGCTGATGCTAATGTTGATGATGCTGATGATGACGATGATGATGACGATGCTGATGCTGATGATTGTGATGAAGATGGTGGTGGTGGTGATGGTGATGGTGATAATGCTGATGATGATGCTGATGATGATGCTGGTGCTGATGACGATGGTCATGATTTCCACCGCCAATGACTTTTCATAACGAGGAACGAAATGGAGGAAGAGGAGGAGGAGGAGCAGGAGGAGGATTTGATGTTGACGACGATGATGATGATGATGATGATGATGATGATGATGATGATGATGATGATGATGATGATGATGAGGAGGAGGAGGAGGAGGAGGAGGAGGAGGAGGAGGAGGAGGGAGGAGGAGGAGAGGAGGAGAGAAGGAGGAGAGAAGGAGGAGAGAAGGAGGAGGAGGAGGTGGAGGAGGAGGAGGAAGAGGAGGAGGAGGAGGAGGATGAGGAGGAGGGTGAGGAGGAGGAGGAGGAGGAGCACGCTGCCTTCCCTCGCCGTGGTGGCCTTGCACCGCGCGCAGTGCCAGACCAGTACTGTGCCATTGGCGCGGAAATCGTGGGAAGGGTGGTTGAGTTGCCATCCCACTCTCACCTGCCCCACGGCTGTCCGTGGCCCTACTGCAGGCCCTGGGCCCCAAGCTGCTGCGAACACCACGGGCGGCCCGCCACATGCCATTCTCAGCCACGCCGTGCACGTGTTCCTCGATCCCCGCGCTTCTGACAGGCACACCCGGCAGCGAAGGCACATCGCCGTGCCGCACGCACCAGCGACGACAATCACCGCACGGCGTGTTTCCCGCAGCGCAGCCTCGTACGGCGTGGCGGGCCGCGCTCGCTTTCGAGCAGTATCGCCCCCAGGCCGCGGCGCCCTGGGATCCTTGTCGCCCGTTTCCCAGAGGGCGGCCGCCAACCGCTGCCAGACGCGCGCGGCCAACGCGCCCGTGTCCCCGACGGCAGGTGCCTCGCTCTCCGCCAGCATCACCCTGGCCTTTGACATTTCGAGCTCCTCTGCTTGCTGGGGAGCACGTGCAGCACGTAGAATCCTTTGCTGATGGCCGCGTCCTCGTCGACGTGGCCCCCGACTCGGTGATGTAATGGAGCTCGCGCCCCTCCGCACCGCAGTCCATGGTACTGCGCCAACGCCAAGAGCTCGGCGCGTTCGACTGTCTGGCGGCAGCCGGGTACGTTGCCCGCCTTGCCCTCCAATTGGTCGGCCAACCCGTCAGCACCAGGAGCCTCGCGCGCACCCGCCGCCGCAAGCACGCATGCCTGGCCTGCCCGCGCAAGAGAGGATCGCTCGAGCAGATGCCCCCCGAGCGGTCGCCGCCTGCCCACCACTGGCGGCCTGGGCCGTGCTGCGCGTCACCATATCTCCAGTCGCAGGACTATTCTGTCCCCGGCGGCGCGCGCGTCTGCGCCCAGCTCGATGGCGCCAGGCCGCGGCGCTAGAAGCACGGCAGGGTATCGTGATCCCTCGCGGCGACCTCCGCGATATTTGTCGTGCCCGCGCGCGCCCACATATTTGCGTTGCCGCAGCATTGCCGCCAACGCCGATGGAAGGGGTGCAATCTCGCTCACGTTTATCATTGCCCCAATCCCCTCTATCACGTCTCATGTGCACTGGTTACCCGTGCCTGCTCCCGTTCGTTCCCTCTCACCCGCTGCCTCCGCTGCCGTCTGGGCTTCGGAGGGCCCTTGAGCTGTTTGGCGACAGCGTCCGCTTGTGTGCAACCAGGCGAGAAAAGGCTTTGAGGCTCGCAGAGCCCACACTCCAGAGATCCCAAAGGTCCTGTGCATCGGACCACGCTCCGAGAAAGCCTAGTTTCGAGTTAATATTATTGAATTGGTAGCGCAGAGCAACTTTCCTACGGACAAGTGCCGCCATGTCGAGGAGGAGTACACCTCCCAACACGCCACCAGCTGGTGGCCGCGCTGCTGCAGATGAGGGCAATGACGACGATGATGGAGAGTTCTCGGCCAAAGGAGGCAAGCGAGGAAAAGGTCGTGATCCACAATACGGTCCTCGCTCCAGACCTCGAGGTAACCTACCGCCGCCTCCAGAGTTCGATGGCAACATGGAGGATCCCAAGATATTCAGACGCTACAAGGCGCAGGTCGAGAACTGGGTTTTGATTGCGAAGAACATCATCGGCCCCGAGGAGATGGCACCAAGACTGCATGCAGCGCTCAGAGACAAAGCTTTCGACCACGTAGAGGACGGGAGCCCGACAGTTTTCGCAGTTCCAAACGGTGTGGAGCTCTTACTCGACAGGTTGCCATATTTCGATCAACGCCCGACGGTCAAGATAGGCGCCGCAATGGGCGATTTCTTTCGCATGGAGCACGTTAAGCCAGGCGAGACCTTACTCCAGCTCGCCACTCGAGTGGACAAGGCAGTGCTCCAGGCAAGGTCAGTAGATTTGGCCGTTCCAGATCCAATCATCATTAGGCAGTTCATGAAGAGTTCGCAGCTGGACCACAAGACACAGGCCACATTATTGATGGCCGCAGGTTCGAAGTTCGAGTGGAAGCCCCTAAAGGAGCAAGCGGCCATTCTGTTTCCCATGCCGCTGGTGCCGCGCAACAGATTTCAAGGAGATCGCAAGTACAGACCTCAGTATAGTGCTCACGTCACGAACCAGGATACGTACGAGAGGGAGGTCACCGAGCCCGACTACCAGCACGACCATGAGGACTGGCAGGTGACCGACGCAGATTTTGGACGCGATGACTCGTGCGACAACAGCTGGGAGGAAGATTCCAGCGACTTCTGGGACGAGCAGCTACCCGAGGCGTTGGCTAGAGAGATTCACGCTGCTCATGTTACGTTCAAGCAGGCTCATGATCGTCTCAATCAGGCCAACAGAGCACGAGGTTACTACAACACGAAGGGCAGCAAGGGCAAAGGTAAGCACGGCAAGGGCCACCAGCCGAATCGTTCCGGAAAAGGCAAGGGCAATGACGGAGGCAAGGCACGACGTGGCATGTCGTTGGAGGACCTCAAGAAGGTGACCAACTGCTCGGCGTGTGGCGAGATCGGCCATTGGGCAGGTGACCGCCAGTGCCGAGCGCCAGCCTCCAAGAGAACATCAACGGGTACGACGGCTACACGGAGTGCGAACGAAGCATCGCAGTCTTCGACGCTTGGTGGCCACCTGCCCATCAGCAGCCTGCCCAACACGAACACGATCAAGATGGACGAACGACTTCAGGCGCGTCTTCGGCTTCGACGAGACACGGTTACAGTGCGAACAGATTACCCACAGTTTGTGAATCTGAGTATGTACATCAGGTCCTAGCGGCGACCAACAATATCCACGAGACACTCGGTACGACGCCGCCTCAGGTTGCCGGTTCACGACGTCAGAGTGATGTCCGAGAATACGGACTTCACGAGACAAGTACATCACAACAAGAGCCCGATCACGCACGACACATCATGATGACGTACGGCAACGGCGGCCAGAGGACGAGGTTCAATACGAAGAGCTTCCATAAGGAGCACTCGATCTACATGATGACGATGGTGAAGGACGTTTTCAGCACGGTGAACATCGACAGCGACGCCAACCTTCTGGTGCTCGACACTGCGTGCCAGACGACGGTCGCTGGACTACGAGGGCTTCGACTATTTCAAGAACGCTATCTAGACCGACTGGGTCTACAGGTATGCTCTCAACCCGAACGTGAACAGTGTCGCTTCGGCCCTGGCGAGCCGATGACGAGTACAGAACGTTGGTCAATACCAGTCGGAGTTCACGGACGTGCGATGGTTTTGCGCACTTCAACGATTGATGACGTGGCGACGGCTCGTTTACCTTTCCTGGGCGGAAGAGACTTGATGACAGATCTTGGTTGCGTGATCGACCTCGCTGGTTCTCGAGTCCATTTTCTGGCCGCTCAGCTTCCGAACGTACAGCTGGTGATGTCTAAGAGTGGACATCTCGCAGTTCGGATCGACGACTGGCCAGTTGCAGGTTTTCCAGTCGACGCAGGCTTTGAGATTGAAACATATACAGCTTCGGTGTGCGAGTGCAGCCTGCGAGAGTCGAATCACATCTCACTATCTGTGCGATCGTCGGTCAGCTCACGTCACCGATCGAGACAACCGAGATCAACGCGAAGTGCATCATTCCGATCGAGCCGACCGAGAACACCACGACGTACCTTATCCCGAGCGAGTCGAACGACAGCACCGAGAACTACGACACCGCAAGCCCGAACCCGATCGAGCAGTACCTCAGCTACGTCGAAACGTCCCCGATTCGATCGACAAGTTCTATGAGTATTTCCGAGACCACGATTGGGGCCCGGGTCCGGGGCGATCTACGGGAATACGCTAGGAGAATGACGATGAGGAACGAAACAGTGACACGGAGATCCATCGACATGTTCCGTTCTCAGCCGAAGCAAACTACCCGATCGATACCAGAGCCATTTCGGCGCCAGGTCATTCTAAGAGGACAGCCTCAAACGATCTCCATTCTCCATATCCAGAGACCGTGTGCCACGGACTCCCAAGGTCACTACCGAAGACCTGCGGGCGCGATGGGCGATTCTCATTCAGCCAGTGTTTGTGGTCATCCGAATGTTCGACAGGAATCAAAGGTACAAAGTGATCGACAGCTTTCTCAGCAGACAGTTTCCAGCGATGCAGATTCTGTGTCAGGGCAAGACCGTGGACAGCTTCATTCCCGATACCAGGACAGGATCACGGACAAGGATGTCACGCTATCCAGACTTGAACAAGACGCGCTGCCACCCTACCAACGGGGAGCACGAGTACACAGTTCCAGCCGGGAGGTTCAAGGAGTGCCTCTATTGCGGGACGGTCTGGAAGGGCGAGAAGTACCAGATCAGGACGAAGGACGTGATCTTTTGGAATCTCCGCGGGGCGCGAGAGACTCCAGGCGCAAAGATCGATCGCATCAATCCATCGGCAAGCAGTTCGCGCGCGCCGCCTTCCTCGTCGGCTCAGCGCTTACTTCCATCAGCGCGGCCTGGGCGCCCACCTGCAACACGAAGGTCATCGAGTCTACGAAGGAGGAGGTCACCAAGCGCGGAGGCGATGAGCGAGGAGCAGGACTCCGGCTGGGAGCGACCACCTCAGGCGGATGCCAATTAACGACGGGTCAGGCGAAGAGGTACCACGGCATGGCCAAGTCCGCCTACAACAACTTGCAGCTCGAGAAGCGCGTCTATGATATACGAATGCAGAAGAGCCGTTTTCCACGACGCCAGCGACGCGGCTTCGACATCTACGAGATCTTCGCGGGCGAGTGCGGCATCGCCCTGCATGCCACCGACCGCGCCAACGGCTGGGGCATGCGAGCTCTCCAACCGGTGGACAAGCTGTTCGGTCAGGACTTGAAGAAGCAGAAGGCCAGGAAGGAAGTGCTCGATACGATCGACAGGTGGCGGCCACGCTTGGTCATCATCCAGCTTCCGTGTACACTCTGGTCGCTGCTCAACCGCAACGTCAACTGCAAGGAGATGCCCGAGGTGTTGGAGGACCTACGCGATGAGGAGCGGTGTTTCATCACCTTCACGAAGGACATCTTCGATAAGCAGAAGGACTACGGCAATCACGCCCTGCTTGAGAATCCCGCTACTGCCGACTCGTGGCGCGAGGAGGCAATCGTCAAGCTCAGGCAGGACAACTACGAGTGCACCTCTAATATGTGCATGTCCGGCATGGTCGGCAACCAGGGACTCCCCATGAAGAAGTTGGTTCGTTGGTTGGGTACGCATCCACTCACCATTCAAGAGCTCGACCGACACTGCGACCACAGCCATCCACATGAAGAAGTGCAAGGAGGTGGACCGAATGGCAACACCAAGCTCTCACAGGTCTACACCTGGCAGCTAGCAGACGCCATCTGCCGAGGTCTCACCAGGTCATCGAGAGCGAGGAGTTCGGACACGGCATCTACCTGTGCAGTTATTACCCCGTCTCCTACGACGCTCCAGCCCCTACTGTGCACCGCGTCTGCTATTCGGCTCCCGACATGGACGAAACAAAGTGGAAGAACATCATGCAATCGGTCGTCGATGTCATGAGTCGAAGGAACGCCCCCTCAGCTCAGGTGGCGCAGGACTCAGAAATGCGGAGGCAGGTGTCCGAGTTGGTTCCCTGGCAGATCTTGTACATGCAGGCCGCCTTCCAGCCGAAGGCAAAGCGTCTTAAACCTGAGTACGGTCCAGACGTCCATAGATGTTCTGTTCTTCTACTCGAAGATAATCGCATCATCGTCGAGCATGAGTACGTCCCAGAGGCCTACGCACCACGAGAACGATTTCAAGACCCAGTACGATACGGTTTGTTCATTATCGGACGTGCTCCAGTCGGCGAAGTACCAGCACCACCTCGACCACCAGTCGAAGGCGAATCACGACAGCCAGTGCCAGTACCCGACGAACCACAGCCAGACGAACTTCAGCCTCAGCCTGTCCAACAACGGGCTGGCGACGAGATTTGGTTCGCCGGACCTCCGCTCACGTCGGAGGAGAAGCGTGCCGCCCCCATCGTTGCTAGGATGCACCAGAACTTGAGCCACCCGCTGCAGGCTGATTTCACGAGGTTCCTGAACGCGAACGACGCGAGCCAGGTTGCGATCGATCTCAGCCGACGTCTGCGATGCAGTTCATGTTTACGAAACGTCAAACCACGGCGCCCACGACCCGCCAAGATTCCATATATATGGGTTCGTTCAATGCTCGAGTTGGTTTGGATTTCTTTTACCTACCTGATTCTGCTCTTACGACACATCAGTTCTAGGGAATTTTGGAGATGTCAGGTTTAGTGATGGTGGTGGTTCATTGTCCGACTCGTGATCCTACTCAGGTGCTGGAGATTTTCAATTTGGCTTGGTTATCTTGGGCTGTTTATCCAGATCATGTGGTGCGCGATCGCGATGGAGCTTTTCAGGCAGCTTTTGTTGAACACCTTGAGGCTCACGACGTTCACGTCGAGAAGCCCCCAGCTGAAGCTCACTGGCAGTCAGGACGAGCCGAGGCTAACATCACACTCTGGAAGCACATGGCCAAGAAGGTGATTTATACGATGCGGCTTGCCGGGGTTGAGGACATGAAGCTGATGGCACCAGCGATCAACCAGTCTCGCAATTCTCGTGTCCGACAATGCGGTGCTTCACCATATCAGTGGACTTTCGGTAAGGACCCGAGGATCCCCGACAGCATCACCGATCCAGCTAACTCTGCCGTCGTACATAGCGCCATGACCGCAGATGCCGAGCTTGCTAAACGAGCCCGAGTACGAGTACTCGCAGACATGGCATTCACCGAGTACGACAGGTCCGAGTCTCTCAAGCGCGCGATGCTTCGAGTTAACCGGCCTTACCGAGGAGACTACGCACCGGGAGATCGAGTGGCTTTCTGGCGTCAGGCGAAGAACAAAAGGGCAAGCAATACCCAGCAAGGTTCATTGTGGCTACTGTGGTCGGCCCTGGTGGTAGTGGCGGTGCCGATGACAACAATGTTTGGGTACTGTCTTCAGGACATCCGATCTTGGTTTCAAAAGAACGACTTCGAGAAGCACATGGTACCGAATTGTGGATACCTGATGAGGAGGACTTGACTGAGCTACGCAAGGCTACTCAAGCACCACCCGAACGATTTCACGACGAACGTGCGGTACCACCTGCCGAGAACGACCCGAACGATGTGATCGTGTCTGATCTAGCCGCCGCTCTACGAGATGAAGGAGGACGCGAACACGTTCGAGGACTTCTACCCCCTCCTGCTCAGCCACCGGCTGAACCACCACAGCTAACCGAGGCCGGCGGCTCCGGGGACAACATGACGGACAACATATTGCCAGCTGTTCGGCCACTACCCGAAGACACTGTGGGAGATACTCGAGCTGCCCGCCGACCTCGCTTTGCAGAACCAGAGACGCCAACTGCACCGCCTACTTCACAGGCGCCAGGTGCGACCTACGTTTGCTTCAACGGCACTGAACAGAACTCTGCCATCCCGATCTACATGTGCGAGCAGTATACTCTTCTCGAGTCGCCCGCTTACGAGGTCTACCTCAACAACAACGGCAGCTTCACTATGACCAAGAAGGACCAGAAAGCGCTTATTCGTGAGATCCCCTACTCGCAGATCCCTGCAGATCAGCAACCTCTATTCCGAGAAGCTCTGGCCCGTGAATGGTCATCTTGGCAACGCTTTTCAGCCGTGGAGGTCTTGGATCTGAAGACGTCCAAGTCTATCGGGAGCGACCCCGAGAAGACGAAGCGCATTATACCATCAAGAGTCTGCTACCGCGACAAGAATGCCGGACGTGGAGTTTCCGAGATCGACGCCAAGGCAAGAATCGTGGGTATCGGCTACAACGACCCCGATATCATGACTCTCAGACGTGACGCACCAACCCTTACGAGAGCTGGTTTCTACATCTTGCTGCAGACGATCTCGAGCTGGGACTTCAACTTGTTCGGAGGCGACGTAACCACAGCCTTCCTACAGGCCGATCAGACCAAGGCCCAGCGCGACAAGCCGATTTACCTTCGGCAACCTTCTGAAGGACTTCCAGGTGTTCAACGCGGTGCTCTTTTACTTGTACGACGTGCCATCTATGGCTTCGTTAATAGCCCTCGCCTGTGGTGGCGAGAACTTCGTGACTTTCTCATGCACATCGGTGGCAAGCAGTGCTTGCTGGACAAGGCTCTATTCTGTTTCTACAACAAGTCACATCGCATTATCATGATTATTGGCATCCACGTGGACGACCTCATCGGAGGCGCAGACGCTCGAGAAGGCTCCAAGCTGTTGGAAACCATCCGCCAGCGGCTCACTTTCGGCAAATGGTGGGACAACAAGTTGACCTACTGTGGCAAGCATCTCAGCAAGAACGAGAACGGCACGATTTTCATCAACCAGAAGGAGTTCTGTAGTCAATGCGTGCCGGCACCACTGCCGCGATGGAGATCTGCAACGCCTGAGGCCGAGCTCACTGTCGAGGAGAGGACCAATTTCGCTAGTGGTGTAGGATCTTGTCAGTGGTTGGTTGGTCAGACGAGGCCGGATCTAGCTGCTGCGACTTCTCTTGGACAAGGATCGAATCCGAAGATTTCCAATTTGATGGCTATTAATCGTATCCTACGCGAGGCGCGAGATTCCCAAGATGTTGGATTATATGTTGTGCCGCTGGATTTTACGAGAGGCGTTCTCATTACATTTACTGATGCTGCATGGGCTAACGCTCAGGAGAATCAAAGTCAAGCCGGTTTCATGGTTTTCTTGTCAGATCAAGATAGTTTGACTTCCAAGGGTGGAGCGGCTACTCTTCTTGATTGGCGTTCACACCGTATTCGTCGAGTAGTTCGAAGTATTTTGGCTGCCGAAGCAATGGCAATGGATGCTGGTGTGGACACAGCTTATTTCCTACGTCATTTGTTTGCCGAGGTTTTGTTTCGAGACTTCAAGCCGGGAATTTCAGGTAAGCTCCCGAGTTTCTTCATGCCGATTTTTGGTGGCAGCGGGTTGCAAGTCTTTGTGTGACATTCTAACTAAAGAAGGGACCCCATCTACAACGCTGGAACGGCGTTTGAGTATAGACATTGCTGCGGTAGCACATGTTGCCGAAGAACTTGACGACGAGGATCCTAAGTCTACTGTGTTTTGGGTGCCGACCGATCAACAAGTTGCGGATCATTTGACCAAGGTAAAACCTCCGAGTCAGTTACGAGAGATTCTGGCGAAGAATCAACTGAGTCTCCGGACGGATAGCGGATTACCCTCGTGAGTGAACGGTTTCTTTTTCTGTTTCATAAGGCTAGGTGACACGTCTGAGATGTCACATTTCATTTCCATATTGATGTTTTCCGAGTTTCGCCGCCGCGCGACATTTTATGTTCCATATTGACGTTTTTAGTGTCTTCGCCGCCGCGCGACAGCCTGCCCGTACGTTTGCTGCGTAAGCTATCGTGTGAATCCGAGCTTCGGAAGCAGTTTAACTCGTACGTTTGTTCGGGAGATTTTGGGCAACAGTAAAGATAGTGAGTGCAATATCGCTCACGTGTATCATTGCCCCACTCCCCTCTCTCACGTCTCATGTGCACTGGTTACCCGTGCCTGCTCCCGTTCGCTCCCTCTCACCCGCTGCCTCCGCTGCCGCCTGGGCTTCGGAGGGCCCTTGAGCTGTTTGGCGACGGCGTCCGCTTGTATGCAACCAGGCGAGAAAAGGCTTTGAGGCTCGCAGAGCCCACACTCCAGAGATCCCAAAGGTCCTGTGCATCGGACCACGCTCCGAGAAACCCTAGTTTCGAGTAAATATTATTGAAAGGGGGTCTCGCGAACTCCAGTGACCCATCGCAGGCGCAGCCCGTCAACCTCGGCAGCGGCGGCGTCGGTGAACCGCTGCCGTGGTTAAGCCTCCGGTGGCAACGCGCGTGCGCGTGCCTCTCCAGATGGCTCCCTTGTCGCTTCCCCCCAGCTTGTGCAAATGCTTGCTTGGCTGCTGAGATTCGCACCCGCCCGCCAAGCCTTCGCCCAAGTTGTGGCCCGCGGCCCGGCGCCACGTCGCGCCCCGCATCGACTGCTCGACCGCCTCGGGGATGGGGGGCGGGTGGACATCAGACGCGGCCGCGCATGGTTTCAACCGAATCTCTCAGGAGTCTCCGGGGGGATCCGTCCACATGACACCATCATCCGACGGGGGCCAGTCGTCGTCGGACGAGCAGGGCTGTCGCATGTCCGCCCGTGGACCGACTCTGAACCACCGCTTGGACCTCTCGCGTCTTCGCAGTCGCGCGCGGCCACGCCCGCTGCGCGCGCCTCGGCAGAGCTGCGCGCTCCGAAGCGCGCGTCAGCAACGCTACCCGTGCGCCCAGCAGCAATAGCAGCTTGCGGACAGCCTGGAGCTCAGGGCCTCCGGCGCCCAGCCCCGCCAACGTCGGGGGCGTCGAGCGGCGCGGCCCGCGTTGAGAGCCTCTCGCCGCCGCCGCCGCAGCTCGCCCCGGCCGCCTGCGCGCCGAGGGCGACGGGCCCGTGGTCGCGCGTGTTGGCCAGTGGCGCGGACGTGATAAGTTCGTTCCGGCGTGGGGCAGCGAGTCGGCGCCGCTCCGAACGCGCCGGCGCCGGGCCAAGATCTCCGAGCAGAACGCCGCGATCCCGGCCGAGTGGCGGGGCTGCCGCTTGTTCTCGCGGCTCAGCGGGGGCCCGAGACCGAGGCAGACAATCGCGCCCCCGAGAGTTTCGCCCGGCTAGACGGCGCCCGGGCGCCGATGCGTTACTCGCGCACCGAGCAAATTCGATTTGCGGGAAACGCGGACAGCGGGCGTTCCAGTAGATGTCCGCGGTGAACCTCCGCTGCAATGACGGCGAGGAGACCCTGGACTTCGAGGCTCGCCGCGAGGCGAAGATCCGCGAGCTCGAGGAGGCAATGGAGGAGCCGCTCAAGTAGCTCCCAGGAGACTTCGGGTGGGCGGCGACGCGGAGGGCCGAATCATTACGGGCGCCAGGAATGAGCAAGCGCGCGAGAAGCCCCGCCATGCGACCAAGTCGCGCGCCCCCACCCCGGAAGTCGGTGGCGCCACCCGCCGGAATTGACCGATAGTGCCTTAATGAGAGTCGGCGGAGGCCGAGCTGCCCGGCCAGCCGGGGCGCGCCCCGCTCCGCGCGCTCCGCCGAAGCGGCGGGGGAATGGAGGCCAATCGGGAAGACCCCGACTGGCCCGGCGACGACGAGTACGTGGGCGAAGCGTTGGAGTCGGAAGCCGACCCGGAGGGGGCGGCAAGCGTCGCCGAACAGGCGTCGCCGAACACGATGCGATCCCCCACGAATTCCGAGCCTTCTTGACAGAACGCTGCGACGATGGCACGGGCAGAGAAGGCTCGGGCGGAAGCCGAGAAGGCGCGCAGTGGACGGGCGGCCCCGGATATCTGAGGCCCCCCGTGTTAGTGCGCCGCCAAGACGGCGCGCGCGGCGGCGGCCCTCGCCGACGCGCTCGCGGGGCGGGCCCCGGCAAGGGCGCCCGCGACGGTAGGGCCTCAATTTCGCGCTGATCGCAGAAACTGGCGATGATGTTCGCCTCGTCGCAGTGGAAACAGCGCGCAATGGGTCCGCGGCGGGGCCCGCGCGGCGTCGGCAGGTGGCCTCGCGCGCCAAGCGGGCGCGGGGGTGCGAGCTCGAGACGGCGCAGCGGCGCGGGCCCCATTGTTTCGACCCAGGGGAAGCTCACCGAGTGCGTTCCACAGCTCGCAAAAAAAACTCTTCGCAAACGCCCTCCGAAAGATACGTTCGCGTCGACGCGGTGGATTGCGCATCTCCCGCGGCTGGCCCAGGCCATTTGCTTGTGGCTACTTTGCGATTTGTAGAACGCGCTTGTCTGGGATTTGTCGACGGCCACCGGGCCCCACCGTTGCCGGGGGCCGCGCTCCGGATTTTCCCGGTCTATGCGACGGTGCGCCGCCGATCTCGTGCCCCGCGCGGTGGCTTGCCCTCGGGGCGCGTGGCCACGGCGGCCGCCCACTGCGGCCCAGAGGGCCGTGGGTGCTGGTGCGCCCGGAGCAGCGAGCGTCTGCCAGGCCGGGGCCAAGGTCGCATTTCGCGGGCGCGGGCCGTCGCGCGAGGGCGCAAGCCGCGCGCTGCGCGCGGGCGGCCGGCCGAGCGTTAAAGACGACGAGGTGGCGATGATAGTGGCGGCCGCAGCCCTCCTTGGCTCTGAGCACTACGGACTGGCGCAAGCTGGCGCCCTCCCCAGCGGCGCGGGCACGCGCGCGCGCAGATGCCGCCGTGGCGCCCGACGGTCGCGCGCTGTCGCAGCGGCGCTGCGATGGGCCGAATGCCGATTTGCCCTGCAGATGGCGCTCCTGACGTGGAAGATCTGACATCGAGACCTGCGGGTGGAGCACCTGGGGCGGGGCGCGCAGGCCCTGCGTCGGCGGGGGGGCCATGCGAGGAGCATCTGGCAGATGCTCATGGCGGACCTGGTGCTCGGCTGGCGACGGGGCCGAGCGCGGGCGGATTTCGCAGGTCGATTGAGGCTTGTGCTTCGGGCGCAGAGGGCAGAGCAGACAGAGAAGCGGCGGGCGGCGGCGCGGCTGATCGAGCTGATTCGCGCGGGGGTCGCAGCAAGACAAGGGAAGAGTTCATCCGCGTTGTCGGGCAGCGCGCGGGCGCCAGGCAGGAAGATGCCGCGCTTGCCCGAGGTCCTTCGGCCGGGCAGCCTGACCCCGAAAAGGGAGGCGAGCGGGATCAAGACGGAGGAGAGAAGAGAGCATGGAAGTGGATTCCGGGGCTGGGCCAGCCGCTTCATGGCCGACGATCGGGCGACGCGCCAGCTACTCGGGCGCGCGGGCAGTCGGCGGGGGCGCGGGCGCGGGGGCGCCCCGAACCGGCCTGCCCCGCCGCGCGCCGGCAAGTCCGGTGCTCGGCGCGCGTGCTCGGAGACTGACTGCGCGAGACCAGCGGCGGCCAGTGGGCTCACTTTAAACGAGGGTTAAGGAGAGGCTGTATAGCGAACGCTATGTTCGACTCTGTCTTGGCTCAAGACAGCGCTGTCCTATTTGCTAGTTGCGCCGCCGTGCGTGGCTGCATTGGGATCATGGCATCGGACAAAGGCCACGTTTATTGATCATCCGCCCTTACATCCCACGGCTTCTCTCTTACCTCTCGTCGGTCTTGCCATCAAGGGATGGTTTGTGGGATGCGTCGACGCGTCGACGACGTTATCCTAAGTGTCGGATTCTCAGCTTGTTACCTCATGGACAAGCCCTGGACCATTGCTTTTCACTTGGTAGCGGAGCTGGCTACATCCTCATGTGGTTGGCTCGTACATCAGGTGTTATGTACATGACAACTTACCACGGCACAGTGGAGCACCCGACCGCGCCGTCTCTCAGCCACTATATTCCCAATCTCTCGAACCAATTGGTAACCTGCAGTCCTATACCTCCATCGCCCCACCGCGTAGCCACACGCCGCGCACAACCCCCGCGTCGATATCCATCGGCAAGCTGACGGCCACGCCAGACCAGACACCCAGTCGCAACTCAACGGGCGCGACGATTTCCGACGTCGAGCAACCTAACATCATGTTAAGGTCGCCATTTTTGGAACTATCTGGGCATGCCTTGGCTCTGCCGTGGCCTGCATGCCGAGAGGGGGACTGATAGAAACGCGCGCGCTCGAGGTCCCTTCTGCAACTCCGCAGGCAACGCACCCTTTCGTGATTTTTATTTGCGAGGCACACGCATGGCTCAACGTCGCGAGCGGAAGCGTGACTCCACCTCAACAGGCCGCTGTTTTCCAGCGCGGTCTGGGGGGATTGGCCAGGGCACTCGCCATGGGGGCGCCATCCACCATCATCAATTATGATGTTACGTTGCAGGGGAGGCGCACCGATGGAGCCACATACATCATGTACCTATTGAGGACTAAAATCGAAAACCTTGAGGATGAGCGACAGCTCGCCTCGGGGACAGCCCTCGTCGACTCTAGGGTCGAGAAGGCGAGCGCATTGACTTTGTATTGGCCCAGTTTGAGATGGCCAGGTTAGAAGTAGACTCAGCAGGCTTCAACATCCCCCACTGCCAGATCCTTACCCTCATCCTGTTTCGCGCCCTAGGATTTGGTACCTCCTGAGTGGCACAGCCATCAGATGCCCCGTACTCAACAACAATACGACCATTTCCTGGAGCGAATGCGCAGCCGTGGGCACTTGGCCGAGCGCTCCCCAGGCAACATCTGGAGCATCTTCAGCGGGCGCAACGCTGGCACATACCACGCCAAGATAAGCGATGCACTGGCCGCAATGCCAAATCGTATCTGGAATGACGGGGGGCCCGCTGAGTCCACTACGCTTGTAGGCCAAAACGCCATTAACAACGGCGAACATATGTCCAGCTCAAATATGGGCTGGCCGCAAGCGGCCAGCTACACACCACCTGAAGCGACTACCATCTGGGGCTCACCCAGACGCCAGGGCGACGATGTGTTCGATTCTGGTACGGACACCGATGCGCGGTCTCCTCTACCGGTGCCGAAAGCCTTGACTGGTCAGACCTACCCGCCAGTGATGATGGAGCTACACAATACCTTTACGTCGGGTATCATCGCGCAGGTTCAGGCGAGCTGCGCGTCGTGTCTTTCTCTGCACGGGGAAATGTCGTGGCAAGGTGGTAGACGCACCCGCAGGTTGCATAGCAAAGGCACGGCCACGATCCTCACTCGATTGACCGACTACGACTTCGAAGAATTGTTTTTAGGACGTACAGGCAGATAGGCACGCCGCAGGAAAGGGCAAGGGACGCAGGCTCAATCCAATGGGTAAGGAAGGAAACAAATCACATGCAGCACCTGCGGGAGCGACACATTTTCCCAATTACATCGTTCCAAAAGGGGGTGGACAGGGGGACGGATCCGTACTCCTTGGCTCAGACCAGTCCGAAGCGGACATCATCGAATACGTCGATTTCCCCGAACTAGATCACCCCCTTTGCCTCTCGAACCAGTTCGTCTCGGCATTTGATGGACCACTTCGCCAACGCCGCCATGTCTGTCGAACGGTGCGCGGAGTACCTCCACGACGGGATTCTCTACGACGCCCCCATCGAGGATTGGGTCGACACGCGTTGGCACGGACACGTGCAGGAGGAATATCGCGGCGAGGATGCACGCATGTCAGATGCGGAGACCGCACCTGCCACACTGACGCTGAAATCGCCGAACAGCTCGGGCACGGGCAGACTGGCTTACACCCGCTCCCAGCCCCAACAGTACTTGGACTCACGCAGGAGGAGCGGGCTGCGGTGGACTGGGGCTAGACCCACACCAACGCATTCATGATGTGGGGCAAACCTGGCAAGCCCCAGTCGACTCTGGCGAACCTTGCAAAGGTTACAGAGGAAGCGGCCGCCGGGGCCGCGGCTCTACGGCCCGCCATGCAGTAGGCGGCTCAGGCAAGGCTGGAATATACAGCCCAGACACGGGCGGTCCTGGCCCCGGACGCGGCCATTCTCGAGGCGTTGGCCATTCCAAAGGTAAAGACTGCGCCGGTCCAGCCGAGCCTACGCGCGGCTGGAGCTCCAGCGACAGAGGAAGCAGAAAGGGGTGTGCCTCCCCAGGAAAATGGCGCGCCTTTCTCGCGCGACAACCAGGGCCCCCGCACGGGGGACCGACGATGCTGATATGATTTCTTTTCTCGAGCAGGGCTTCGCGGAGGCCGCAGTGACAAAAAGCGGGCATTCAAGCGCATGGTGATTGATGAACGCGGGGGATACCGCATGTGCCCATGCCCCCTTCGCAGTCAGCATCGCGAAAAGTGCCTGGTCGATCGTCCATCGCGCAGTCCACATCATGGCAAGACGCATTGGCATCCCGACCACGGTGATGACCTAGGCAGCAGGACGGCCACATCGATTACAGACTACGTCTCAGTGGTCGATACCGAAGTACAAGAGA